CAGGCGTCCTGACGTTCCTTCTTTGCTTTCACATGTCTCCTTGCATTGGACTCTCCTTAATGCGGGGTATTGTTAGATGCACGTCAGTACGTTGTGTGGCACTGAACAAATAATGTTGCTTAGTGTTTGGATCAGGAAACGAGTTCGGGAGCGAACCGTTCTACTCACTGCTGGGGGAGAGAGTATGGGCTAATGCAGGGGTGGCCAGCCTGAGCCTGAGAAGGAGCCAGAATTTACCTATGTACATTGCCAAAGAGCCACAGTAATACGTCAGCAGCCCCCCATCAGCTCCCCCCCCCACTCCCAGCGCCTCCCGCCCACCGGCAGCCCCACTGCTCAGCGCCTCCCCCACCCTCCCCATCAGCTGTTTCCTGGCGTGTAGGAGGCTGGGGGTGGAGCGAGGGCACGGCAGGGTTAGGGGAGGGGGTGGAGTGGGGGCAGGGCCCGTGGCAGAGCCAGGGGCTGAGCAGTGAGCACCCCCCAGCACATTGGAAAGTTGGCGCCTGTAGCTCCAGCCCCGAAGTCGGTGCCTTTACAAGGAGCCGCATATTAACTTCTGAAGAGCCGCATGTGGCTCTGAAGCCACAGGTAGGCCACCCCTGGGCTAGTGCTTAGAGCAGGGGACTCGTGGGTCCGGACGCCTGGGTTTGGTCTCCGGCACTGGGAGAGGAGTGTGCTCTAGTGGTTGGATTAAGAGGGGACGGGAAGCAGGACTCATGGACTCTGTTCCTGGCGTGAGAGGGGAATGTGAACTAGTGGTTAGAGCAGCAGCAGGGAACTGAAAAACAGGACTCCTGGGTTTTATGCCTATTGCTGGGAGAGGAGTGAGGTCTAGTGGTTAGAGCACGGCTGACTCGATGGTCTAGTGGTAAAAAAAAAGAAGTGGGTAAACTGAACTCCCTGAGCCCCAGCTACGTAGTGGGTCAGCTCTGTCTACCCCAATTTACTCTCGACGACACTCCTGGGGTGACCGGAAGTCAGGATTTCTGGGTTCTCGTCTTAGCTCCGATCGGCACATGGGTAAAGCAACAGACTGGGGGATCCCCAGCTCTGCTGTGCGGTGTGCGGTGATTGGCTTCTCCTCCTTGCCTGCGCCCCCTGTTTAGCAAAGACACTAAACAAACCGCCCACCCGCCTTCCGGCGCTAGCTCTGCGGGACGTGCGCCCCGAAGAGCCACCCAGGCCATGCTGCAAACTTTCAGAAACTCTGACTGGGGGCTTGTTCCGGTGCCTCAGCAGCTGGTTTCAGGGCTCTGTGTGTGTGTGTGTGTGTGTGTCCGCACGCATGTCCTGTACAGCTTGCTCAGCGAGTATACAACCGAGCGCTTCCTGCTTCAGCACAGCCTCTTTCCTGTTCACTCGCTGCCGGCCGCTTTGTCCACCCTCCCGCTCCCCAATGGATGGCAAGGGCTGGGTGGCCACCAGGCCCCAGAGACAGGCGGCAGGGACCATGTGAGCCCCTGGCATGTGGTCTGATTTTGCCACCGCTTCCTTTCCCGTCTGTTTCTCTGTTCCTTTTTCCTTTTACCAGTGAAACTCGGCCGCAGACTCCAACTTTAAGCCAAGTATGTGACTGGGGTTGCAAAGTACCTTGTGGAGGGGATTATGGGACAATGTTGGCTGAGGGGTAAGGATGGGGATGGAGGGGGGGGTTATTGGGTTAAGGTGATGGGGCCCAGCTGTTCCCAGATCCAGATGTGTAGGGGGGGGGGGGCTCTGCATTTCCTCCCCCCACACCGCCCCGGACAGGGAGGGCTGCAATGGAAGGGGAGTCTCAAAGGGTGGTCCGTGAAAGATCTCTCTGGGTGTTCATTTGTTTGATTTGTGCTATGGAGTGTGTGGAGAGGAGGTTAGCAGGGGAGAACCAGCTGCTTGGCACAAGCTCTACTGAGTCCAAGAATCAGGACTCCTGGATTAAATTCCCAGCTCCGGGAGGGGAGTTTGGGCTCGTGGTTAGAGGAGCGGTGGCTGGGAGCCAAGATGCGAGGGTTTTACCCCTGGCATGAGAAGGGAAGTGGTGTCTAGTGGTTGGGGGTGGGGCTGCTGGGAATCAGGATTCCTGGGTTCCATGCCCAGCTCTGGGCGTTAGGACTAGTGGTTAGAGCGGGGGGGGCGGGGGCTGTAAGTCAGGTCTCCTGGGGTCTATTCCCAGCTCTGGGGGGGGAGCTGGAGTTAGAGGTGCAGCAGCCTGTGAGTCAGAATTACTGGGTTCTATCCCTGGATCCAGGGGGGGAGTGGGATCTAGTGGTTAGAGCAAGTGGGGAGGGCTGGAAGTCAGGTGTCTGGTCCTATTCCCAGATCTGGGAGGGGAGTTGGAATTAGTGGTTTGAGGCGCAGCATTTCTGCATTTTACCCCTGGCTCAAGGAGGGGAGTGGGATCTAGTGGTTAGATCTGGGGGGGCTGGAAATCAGGGTAATAAAGACCATGACAACTGAAGTCAAGGTTAGTTTTTGCTCCGAGACCAGACTGATCCAAACCACCGGCTCGGTAAGGAGAGCATCCGAGGGGGAATCCTGGCCCTAGGGGAGCCAATGGGCATTGTGCCCATTACAACCTTCCAGCTTCGGGGCTGGAGCCAATTAGGGGTCAGGAAGGACCTTCCCTATGGGCCGATGATCCCCTCCCTGCGGGGTTCTGGAACAGCAGGTGCCAGGCACTATTGGGGTGCTGATCCAGTCCGGCCTTTCCTATGTGCTGTCTGTGCGTGAGAGCAAATTGAGGCCATGAAGAAGTGCCAGTCGGAGCTCCATTTCGTCACCACCTCACTGGTTTCCCGTCAGACTCCCCCATTTCTCGTTTTTTTTTTTGTCTTGTTCTGCGCTTTTATTTACTATTTTTTTGCTTTCAACATTTAGATCTCACCTCTGTGTTAGAGCTTTAGCCTGCCACCCGTCACCGTGGACTCTGGGCACCTCCCACGTTAAACCCACGGCCATAGCATGGCCCAAGCGGATTTCATGGTGCCTCCAGCCCTTCCCCTTTTTGTGGGGTCAAATCTCTGCCTGGGGTGTAGTTAGTGGCCTTGATTTTTATTCATTTCCTTTAGTTGTTCGTGGCAGTTTTAGGACCTTTTGCCTCCTCCGGTATTTCCTTCCCCACCTTCCCACGAGAAGACTCTATGGATGACCAAGAAGCCTGTGCCTCCAGAGATGCTGATGAACCGAGAGGGGAAAACATTGATTTGTTTAAAAACAACAACAACTAACAGATCTGTTAGTCTTTAAGGTGCCACCAGACATCTTGTGTTTGGGATACAGACTAACACGGCTACCCCCTGATACTGATTTGTTTATTTCATTAGCACCTATTTAACTCAAATGCCCGAGGAGCAGTTAGGAGCAAAACTATCTGGGTTAAACCCTGCAATTCATAGAATCATAGAATATCAGGGTTGGAAGGGACCTCAGGAGGTATCTAGTCCAAGCCCCTGCTCAAAGCAGGACCAATCCCCAACTAAATCATCCCAGCCAGGGCGTTGTCAAGCCAGGCCTTAAAAACCTCTAAGGAAGGAGATTCCACCACCTCCCTAGGGAACCCATTCCAGTGCTTCACCACCCTCCTAGTGAAATAGTGTTTCTAATATCCAACCTAGACCTCCCCCACTGCAACTTGAGACCATTGCTCCTTGTTCTGTCATCAGGTACCACTGAGAACAGTCTAGATCCATCCTCTTTGGAACCCCCTTTCAGGTAGTTGAAAGCAGCTATCAAATCCCCCTCATTCTTCTCTTCTGCAGACTAAACAAGCCCAGTTCCCTCAGCCTCTCCTCGTAAGTCATGTGCCCCAGCCCCGTAATCATTTTTGTTGCCCTCCGCTGGACTCTCTCCAATTTTTCCACTTCCTTCTTGCAGTGTGGGGCCCAAAACTGGACACAGTATTCCAGATGAGGCCTCACCAATGTCGAATAGAGGGGAATGATCACGTCCCTCGATCTGCTGGCAATGCCCCTACTTATACAGCCCAAAATGCCATTAGCCTTCTTGGCAACAAGGGCACACTGTTGACTCATATCCAGCTTCTCATCCACTCTAACCCCTAGGTCCTTTTCTGCAGAACTGCTGCCTAGCCACTCGGTCCCTAGTCTGTAACAGTGCATGGGATTCTTCCGTCCTAAGTGCAGGACTCTGCACTTGTCCTTGTTGAACCTCATCAGATTTCTTTTGGCCCAATCCTCTAATTTGCCTAGGTCCCTCTGTATCCTATCCCTACCCTCCAGCGTATCTACCACTCCTCCCAGCTTAGTGTCATCTGCAAACTTGCTGCGGGTGCAGTCCACGCCATCCTCCGGATCATTAATGAAGATATTTAACAAAACCGGCCCCAGGACCGACCCCTGGGGCACTCCGCTTGATACCGGCTGCCAACTAGACATTGAGCCGTTGATCAATACCCGTTGAGTCTGACGATCTAGCCAGCTTTCTATCCACCTTACAGTCCATTCATCCAGCCCATACTTCTTTAACTTGCTGGCAAGAATTCTGTGGGAGACCGTATCAAAAGCTTTGCTAAAGTCAAGGAATAACACATCCACTGCTTTCCCCTCATCCACAGACCCAGTTATCTCTTCATGGAAGGCAATTAAGTTAGTCAATTAAACAATAACAATCAGTAATGACTCCCTAGCTCTTATCTAATGCTTTTCATCCTAATTAACATGGCACACATTAAATGGATGAAACCCGGGTTCCGTGATAGTTCTCAAAATGTAAGTGGGGAATGAGGATCAAGCAGGTCTGTTTCTAGTGGAGTTTGCTCTTGGCTCGTCTATCTAGCAGCCCAAGGTCTAACACGATCCAGTGGCTGGAAGCTGAAGCTAGACAAATGCAGACTGGCAAGAAGGCGTTGTTGTTTTTTAACAGCGAGGGGGGTTGATCACTGGAACAACTTACCCAGGGTCGTGGTGGCTTCTCCATCGCTGACAAGTTTTCAGTCAGGACTGGATGTGTCTCTCAAGGCTCTGCTCTGGGAGTTATTATGGGGATGTTCTCTGGCCTGCGTTAGCCAGGAGGCCAGACCAGATGACCACAATGGTCCCTTCTGGCCTTGGGATCTATGCCTCAGGAGCTCTCGAAGCACTTCACACAGGATCACCAGCCATCTTTCACAGATGGGGACCCTGTAAATGAAAGGCAGAGAGAGCTCCCAGGAGACCCCCCGGCAAAACCAGAGGGGGCCAGATCTGCTGCGCTAAGGGGGTTACCAGTGTACACACCCTTGCTCCTTGCTTGCCAGGTTGCTGACCAGCTCCCTCTGCTCCCCATGAGGGGCTGGCGCCATGAGGAAGAGATGGAGGGGAGCGTGGCTCCTGCTGCTGGCACTGGAGACCTTTGGGTTTCAGGAAGGTGAGAGCTCAATTTCAATTTCCCAGGACACCCAAGTCCAGGTTCTGATTTCGTCTACACTGGGGTGAATCAGGAGTGACTCCTAAAGAGTCTATTGCCACGCATGGATGGAAAGCCAGTCCGGGTGCTGTCAGAATCAGACCCCTGCTCTGTCTGAGGCTCAGTCCCAGGCCCCGTACCCACCAGGCTCCAACTGCCCCAATGGACCGCAACAGCCCCGCCCCTGTTCCCGGCCGCACAGCCCCCCCTCCTTGCCCCACATTGGGCTCAGCATTGACTGAAGGGAGTGAGCCCCCCCCGCTCTCTGCAGCACAGGACCCCATGCACCGCACCGGGGTCAGCACTGTCAGAGGGGAGCGAGCCCCCCGTCCCACCCCCTGGTGCACCCTGACTTTCCCATCCAGCAGCCTGGCTCTGCTCAGCGTGAGCGGCTGGAAACCCAGTGAAAGAGGATCTAGGTTACCCCCACGGGCAGACAGCCTCTCCCCTCCCCCCCGGCCACACCACACCCTATTGCTGGCGCCCTGCGGTTTATAACTGTTTGACTTGGTGACACACATGTGGTGGGGGGGGACAATGACAGAGGCTTCTGCTCCTGCCATCACGGGGGCGGAGATGCAGCTGCTGCAGACAGACAGAGGAAGGCTCCGGAAGCGCCCCCGCCCTGGCCCCCCTCCCCGCGAGAGGAGGACTGAGCCCTAGGCCTCCTGCACTCAGCAGGAAGAGCTGAGCTAGGCTAGGGCAGGGGATGGGGCATCTTAACGGAGACCGAGTGACAGCACAGCTGTCTGCAAGTCGGTGCTCGGGAGAGGGGCTCAGGACGCCTGGGTTCCGTTCCCGGCTCTGGGGGGAGAGCGGGAGCTAGTGGCTAGACAGGGGGACACTGGGAGTCAGGACTCCTGGGTTCCGTTCCCGGCTCTGGGGGGGGAGCGGGAGCTAGTGGCT